CAATGCACTTAAGTACAACAACCATTCCCATACCGTGGGAAATCATTCTTCACAATAACTCCGCCTCCACCTCATCCCTGGGATAGCTGGGATTTTGGATACAAAGGAGAGACCGGGTGGCTGGTTGCATTCGCGTTTATGTTGTTGGCGTGCTTGTAATTGCTGAATAAAGGTTTAATTACCCAAGTTTGAGGTTTAATCATCCGAGTTGAGTGAAAACAATTCAAGAAGAATTACAAGAACTCCTAGTTATTATCGCGGACAAGAAAGAATCTGCGACACCTTGCAAGACCTAGCACTTTATGTTACTTGCATGGTAACAAAGCCATCTTTCCGTTCACTGTCCACAACTAAATACAGACTTTCGAGTTCCAATAGTCACTCAATTAATAACTCATTTCTATACAATTAACAAAACTAATGTAGCATAGGACAAGCCCGAAAACCATGTTTTTCAATGCTTCTAAATATTAATTTGAGGTACATCCTTCTCATTTCCAAGAAGTAAATATACATATATATATATATATATATAATTTATTTATTTACTCATTTATTTGTCTACTTTATTTATTTATGTGGGAAGTGTAATACATGATGTAGCAGAAAAGAATTATTTCCATAAATGACACTCGTCAAAGGTTGTTATGCAATTTCGATCTATGCTTCTGTAATTCTTCCATTATTTTCTATAGTGTTTTGATCTTCAAAATCTATAAAACTGCAAATATGGTGATCCCGTGGATTCTCGTACTTTTCTTGAAAGCTCGAATGTGTAAAGGAGACTACAGAATAATCATTCGATTATAAGAAAGTGAAATTCAGAAGTGAAACTGCTGTGTCCATTAAAATTTATCTCTCGGTGATCATGCAGTTGTATGTTCGACAAAATGGGCCAATTGTCTTCTGAGAAAAGTTTGCAGTGATTGTGGAATCAGCCCAGTCATCACTGATTTGGACTGGAGGGCATTCTTTATCAATATCTACTCAATTACCTGAAACAGCTTCGAATTTGTGAGCTTCGAATTAGTGTTTAATAGCTGCACTTTATTATGCTTTCATATGGTTATTAATCGAAGGAATTAATTCTTTCCTACAGCTCATGTCTTCATAAAGTAGGAAGATTTGGAATTTTAAAAAGTGTTTGAAACTGTAAATGCGTGAAAATAAAGTCTAAATAAAGTACTGTGCATTCCTTCGGAGTTTTTGCTGTAAAGTTGGAGTATGATCAACATATTCCTTGTAGCTTTACCTGTTGTGTCGAAACAAAAGCTACTGACTCCTAACCCAAAACCATTCGAACGGATTGAAAACTCTCTAGGTTCTTGGTAATTTTAAAAAGACTTCTTTAAATTTTAGAAACACGATACAGGACTTTTGTATTTACAGCCACTCTTTTAAACTTCTGAAAACATTTTGAAGTGCACAAAGCATGCAAGGTAAGCGAACTAATAACCACTGATTTTTGTGGAGCGAACAACAGCCGCCATGTCGACCAAACTTGTCGGATGCTGGAAATTGTCGTCCCACGGAATTTTATTTCAGGGACATAGAAGCATTACTTCTGAGCGTGACTCGGAACGGATCAGTATGAATGAAAAATTCAAAAAATTTGAATGGTAGAGGAAATCGCTACTCTCACAATGTCTCTCAAAATGGTTCTTAAAATAATTTTGATTCATTACTATAATCCATAGAAGACAGCAAAAAAAAGTAATGGAGAGCTAGCACGCGTGCCAGCACAGCGCAGGAAAAAGGGACACGGAACACCGCAGCCGTCATGACAATTTTACGACTTTCCGCATGGTGCTCCATAAATAACGACGCGGAAAGCACTTGCTGTGATGCAAAGTGCAGCAATGTGAGCTCTTGGAGGACGAGCGTCGTTAACCTTCATCGACATTTCAAATGTGTGCTTTCCCATCTCTGTCTGCTTCCAGTCTACTCTCAATGCTTTCCTGTATTTTCGCTTGCGCATATCGGTATGAATATCGAGTCTATCTGTTGTATGTATGTATGTGTATATATATATATATATATATATATATATATATATATATATATGTGTGTGTNTNTGTGTGTGT